TGACATTTTTTATAATAATTTATGATTTATGGTTTTGTTAAAATTTTAAAAAAATAAAAAAAAACAAAAAAAAATTCTTAAAAAAAAAATCAAACCGGGCCGGCCCGGTGTCCGGCCCGCTCAGGCCCGGGCCCGGCCCGGACCACCCCGGGCCCGGGTCCGGGCTTGGGTTTTGCCCGGCCCGGGCCCGGTTTCCCGGGCCGGGCCGGGCCGGGCCGGATGAACAGCCCTAGGTGTGGCAGACACCACACCAGGGTGTGGTAGAGCCTGTCTTGCTTATTTTTCATGTTTTTCTAAAATTCCTTCGTCGTTTTTATAATTCTCCAACTCGACGAAGTTTTTCCAAAACTGAGCCCCGCACCAACCAAATCAAACATCTCACTTGTTGCTAGTACGAAGTGGAATAAAACCACGACAATGGACTTAATCCACAACAAGTCGAGAACCCAAACGGGAATGCGAACAAACTCCAAATGTCGGTATCAACTCATCAAACCGGTCGCATCATAAATGGCTGCCTACGTATCCTCTTGCCTAAGGAATCAAGCCTTCATGTAGTTCACCCAACGGCCTCCAAAGGCCCTCAATCAACTAGAAGAGTTCGTAACCCTTCTCTAACATCATCAACAAATCTACGGCTGATAGCTCTCCAAATGGCCCCAAAGTGAAACAATCTAAACACCTCCACTTGAGGTGAACCAACGGCCATAACCAAATGTGAACTATGTCCACCAGCTGCACTCGAATCCAAAACCAACTCATCATCTGCATCTAAATCTAAATGATCCCCAAATTATGTCACCTCAGCTGAAATCCCAAACGATGCAGTATCATCTGGAGTATGTGGAGTAATCTCCACCAAACGTGGAGTAACATCACTCTTCACCCGCTGCGATATCCCAACGATCTGATCAACACTCTTCACCTGTTGAGAGTCGAATGTGATATACATGCTCAGAACAAAATCAGAGTTTCCTAACTGATAACCAAATGAGCCTTTAAATCCTAAATGTGTAATCGGATCAAATCTCACATCCTCGATGTGACCAAATGCTGGGCAATCAAACATCCGACACAACCCAAAATCTGAAGTAGCTCCACCAGATTCAAAATCTTCATACACAGCAGTCGGCAACCCATGAACAAGATGACCCAAATATGTCGAAGCCCGAACACCAAAACAAATGCTCGACATCAAACGCCGATCCTCCTCCTGAAAGGAACGACCAATCAAAAATATCATCTTATCTCGTTACCCTAATTTTTCCTCTCTAATAAATTGTCTCCAACTGTTATGAGCTCGGTACAAACGCAATAAAGGACCCCTACCAAAACCAAAATGACGGGTTATCTTTCTGCTAATACACTTCCTCCACATGTTGTTGACTTCTAGGACTTCAAACCAACAGGACTTGGTTGCAACCCACCAATGCCTAGAATAATCACCAACTACGGAAACTAAATATCGATTACCTCCCAATGATGCCTCCTTGGAAGGCCCCCAAATACCTGAATGAACACCACCTAAAAGACCCCTTGGTCGATGGATAGAAGTATCAAACTCCACCTTAGTCTTCTTTCTCATACCAATGTGCTCACAGGACTTCAATCTGCAGGTGGAAACACTCATCAACAAACCATGCATGGCACAACCAATCAAATACCTCAATCTCAACAAATGCCACAGTCTAGCCAAATCTAAAGAAATCGTCAGTTCTTTACCAATCATCGTGCTTCCAATCAAATAATACAAATTTTTCCTCTTGACGCCCTTCATCACAATAATTAATCCAAATGTGACATTCAAACATGCATCCTCTAAGGTCACCCTATACCCTGCTGCCTCTAAAACTCCAAGCGAAATAATGTTCTTCTTCAACTGGGGAACTAACCTCACTTCATCCAACTCCCGAATCACCCCGTCACACATTCTAATCCGAATGGTACTAATACCACCAATAGGATATTCATGATCATACCCATGAGCATAACATCCCCTCTTTCCAACTCCTGAAAGCTGGAGAACCAATCCCTCCTAGGACAAATGTGGTATGAAGCACCCGAATCCAACATCCACTCTGTAGAGTCGGCGATACAAACTGACGGTAGTACAGATAACGAGTAGTCTAAAGAATCCGAATCTGAATTATCGCTACTAGCATTGGCAACATTCACCTCTAAAGCTTGAGTAGCTTTCTCTTTATTCTTCCCGGCTTGATCTATCAACTTTGGGCATTCGGCTTTTCAATGTTCATCTTCTTTACAAAAGGTACACTGATTCCTACAAACTCCAGGATGTGCCCCTCTAAACTGCAACCTCCTATTCGGTTTGGACTTTTTGCTCTTGTTACCAATGTCTCTGCTACCGGCTCAACTGAAGTCTCTTTATCCTTCTTTCAAAGCTGATAATTTACAAGTGCAGCGGTGACCTCACTATACGAGAGAGATGGTTTCCCATTAATAAGAGTAAGAACGAATGTCTCATATTCCTTGTCAGGCAAGAAACTTAACAACAACAACGCCTTGTCCTCATCTTCAATCATCACATCTACATTCGCCAAATCCGTAAGAAGCTTCGTGTAGTGGTTCATGTGATCACCAATGGAGGTTCCTTTCTTCAATGGAAGTAGTAAAACCTCCTTTTCAAATGCAAGCGATTCTCCATACTCTTGGTCAAATACTTTCTCTCAAGGATCTCCCAAATCTTCTTAGCCGAAGTCTCATTGATCACATCATATTTCAAATCTTGAGTCAAACAAGATCTAATCACACCACACGCCATTCTATTCATCTTCTCCCAAATCTTTTCCTTTATGTCGTCCCGTTTCCCATCCAACTCTAATGTATCCTCTAAATTTTGCGCGTTATGCGAATCCAAGAATTCGCATCGCCAAAGTCCAAAATTGTTAGTGCCATTAAATTTCTCCACGTCTATCTTCATAGAGTGGATATTCAAACTTTAGACGGTCTTCACGCTGGAAGTATCATTCATAACTCATTCTTTCTCGGCCATCTATCTCAAACCACCAACAACCTAATGCGGAACAAACAAAAAATAGATCCAAACTAAAAAAAAGAGATTTTTACCTTCAAATTTAAATCCTAACAAGAGCCTCCGAAAGATCTCACCCCCACACGACGGTAGACAAGATCACAAATAGTAAAAATCTCACATTTATCACCAACTGAAGCTCTAGACGAACTTCCAAAGCGATCTACTCCTCCAAATAGCCTAAGCGTAGCCCGAGCTCTGATACCACTTGTTGTGCGCGGCGGGCAAATTGTTGTGGTTCGAGGAACCAAACCAAAATGTCGAGATAGAAGGTTAAACAATCCAAGATAACGACACAAACACAAACAACCAATTTTTACATGGTCGGCAAGTTGCCTATGTCCACGGGGCAAGAAGGGGATGAGTTTTTACTAATAGAAAAGAAGAGTACAAACTGAGATTATAAATCACTCAAAACAATCAACTAATCTCACCAACAAATCTCTAATTCTCTCCAAATAAAACCCTAACTAATAGCTCAAAAAATACCTCTTTTATGTGCTCCAAATATCCCCCAATCGATGCTTAATCAAAGCTTAATCAAAGCTAAAGAAACCCTAAAAGTGTCTCTATTTATAATAAAAACACAATCCCAAACAAATTGGGATTCTAAAAAATGAGTCTGCCACACCCGGGGGTGGTAGACACCATACCCCTGAAAACATGACAGATTTTGTCACACCTGGGTGTGGCAGACACCACACCCCTGTCAACTGGGACAGATTATGCCACTTGGGTGTAGCAGACACCACACCAGGGTATGGTGGAGCCTGTCTTGCTTATTTTTTACGTTTTTCTCAAATTCCTTCGCCGTTTTCACAGATTCAGCAACATATCTGAGCTTCTCAACCTCAACATCTTTCCAGTCACATTGAACCAGTCCGCGGATATCAATCATCAGAATATTGGATGCCATAGGAGGATCTCAGTTCGGACGGTCTTCCTCACGACATACGTTCAACTGGGCACTCTCTCCACTTCCTCACCCTGCTTCAGCTCAAGCATCTTCACCTCCTCCTCTCCAAACTTCTTCAGTTGAAATCCAATTACTGGATGTATATTCTCTCAATAAGGTTGAAAGTCAAGGAATCCATAGAGCAAATGGGTTGATGACGCAAATACAATATAGTCCTTGGAGCAGTTGAGTTGTCAAAGAACATGCGTTAGTGGAGCAATGTCTTATTACTACTGCAGTATCTTAGCCTTTCGGCACTTGGCATATGGCCTATTACGTATGTGTCCCGTTGCCTATCTCCTTGAGAAGTCAAAACCCATATCTGGAACTTAATTTGTGTCGTTCAGAAAATGCAAAATGATTGTTCACAACATTTTTATATAATCAAAAGATAAATAGACTTTTGCAACTTAATTACACATTGACATGGACTGATACAGTGAAGTGCTGATTCGATGCTACCTTCTCCGACTGAGAATTTACAATAGAAATCTTCAATATAACTTACTGATCCTTCGAATTTCCCTATTGGGTAGACTTCACAACCCCCCCTCCCCCCCCACCCCTTGAAGTTTGGGGGTTTAAACCCCCTGGACTTTTTCCCCACTAGATCCCATGAACTTTGTCTAACAGAACCCCTTAAACTTTCAATTTTCTATAACGGATCCCCCTAACGGTGTTAATGGCTNAGGCCATTATTTTGATTGTCTAGGAAAATAAGTGTTTTTTCATAGATTAACATAGTTGTGTGTCTGTGGGAAATTTTGAAAGTTTAAGGGGTTTTGCGAGACAAGCCAAAAATCAAGGGAGTTCGGTAGGAAAAAAAGAAGTTCAACGGGGTTTCTTGGGAACCTCCGAAAGTTCAGGGGGTCTTTGAAATTTACCCTTTCCTGATTAGATATTTGCCCACACAATAGTACACACTCCTATTGCATATCCTATTGTGATACCCCCGTTAAAAAACTGAAAATTAAATCCCATGTATCCTTCAAATAATTCAAAATGATTGCACACAACTTTGCTATATAATCAATGAAGATAATGCTGATGCAATTTTACGCCTTGACATTAACTGATACAATAAAGCAATGATTGCATACTACCTTCTCAATCCAAGAAGTTTAAACAGGACAATCCTCAATATAATAACTAATTCTTCTGGGTTTTTATGATCAGATCCTTGCCCACTCAATTGTACTAACTCCTTGTGTATATTTTTCAAAGAAGATGTTGAGAAAATCCTTTACCCTCATCTTCTTGTACAAACATGGCCTAGTCTCATCCACCACGCCTTCTGCTGCCTCCAACGTCTTTTCTGGTTCAAGCGAATAAAACATTGCCACAGATATCCTGTCCTTCTCAGAGTTAGCCGTCACCCTGTGCACAGGGCTCTTGAAAATCCCATTGCTCATTATCTGCAACATTTAATCGATGATGTCTGAATTAGGAAATCAGAACTTTAATAGAAATTACATACATTCACAGTGTAGCATCCCACTGACTCAAAATTTACTCCCACATCGGTGGGATTATAGAAAAATAAGTGGTTTATATAGTGAAGCTAAAGACTCAAGTGTAACATCGACTAGTCGATTTTGGCAGTGGTTTGAGCCAAATAGCACGTTACACTCGGTGGGTCCCACGGCTTGCACACGCCAACGGGCCCGCGGGCCCGGGACGTGACAAATGGTATCAGAGCAGTTGCTAGCCGGAAGTGCGGAGCTAAATACTATGCGGGGCGGCCCAGGGCATGACACACAGAAAAAGAGAGAGAACAAATATAACCAAGAGTCAACGGCTGTGAAGTATCCCAAATATTTCGCCATTTTTCAGATAAATGCCCTGAGATATATTCATTAGAGGACATTAATGGTATATTGGGACGATTGTTTTCATTTAAGGTAAAAAACGTCTAAATGTCAATGTGTATTTCACTGAGTGATATCTTAACGGATTTTTGATGGAAAGACGTTATCAGAAGGTATCAATCTTTAAAGTGTGACAAAGCTTGACGTATTTATTCATAAACAAAACTTCATAACACCTATCCAAGAAGAAATTTTAAGATATTCAAACGGCATGTAATCATATAAATAACTATAAAAGCCTCTTAATTCATAATGTGACTCAGATGTTTTCACTTGGTTCCTCAATTCATATTATCACTTCTAAATCAAAATTCCTGAAACCTATGAAAACTAACAGGAAATGTTACCTGTATCTGATTTCCCAAATTAATGAGCAGGGCATGAGGAATGATCGGGACCTTGAACCAGTCACCGTCTCTGAGCACTTGAAGGCCCTCCACCTCTTTGTCAGGCAATAAAATGGTGATCAAAGAACCATCAGAATGTGGATTGATTCCCAAGACAAGATCAGGCCTTGAACACCGTGGATAGTAGTTGAATCTTGCACGTACTTCAGCTGTGTCACCTAATTGGTTAACGAAGTAATTTTTTTCCAGTTTCAGCAGCTTTGCCAAGGCCAAAAGAACAAGTTCAGCAACTTTCCTTGTCTGTATGGTATATTCATGCAATATTTCCCTGTAATATGTTCAGAAGGAAAATGATATGAACTATGTACCAATTCAGTAACATGAACAACTGATAGTCCTCCAGCATTAGAGAGGCCTAGCTTAACTTTATTGATAGAATTGGGAAGGGGAAAAAACATTATGGTTGTTATAAAGATATGACCTAAGTCAAAGGGAGGTGCATGTTTTTATTTTAGAAAGATACTGTGGTTGATGACGATCAAGGTCTTATTTAACTTATGTTACTCATTACCTATAAGATGAATGTAATTCTCTATCGATAATAGCAGTAAATAGAATACCTGAAAGAGCAAGGATTTTCTGGCCAAAGATCTAGTCTCCTCTTCTCTTCAGGTTGCACCGAGAGATAAAGCCGGTCATTCCAATCAATTATCTGGTCTTTTCTTGCAACACCATAGTTCCCATATCCTTCAGGTTCCAACTTCTCACCCTTTAAGTTGCTAGATTTCTGTTTAACGTCCATTGGAAGTTGAAAGAATTTTCTCACAACATCCCTCACCTCATCTAGAAAAGAGGGTGACAAGTCATAGCCAATAACCTGAGCATATAAATTAACTTCGAGTCTCAAAACTCAAAAGAAAATGAAAAAAAAAATGACAAATTTAGACTGGTCTGTGTAAAGAAGATCATATGGTATAATAAAGCATCAATAGCTTAAGAATAGATTATAGCATGAGTTGGTATTATTATGGGAGTCAAATGGTAGATGAACTCTGATTAGGAACTCCATTAGCAAATTTCTTTATTTCACACAAAAGAGAAAGTAAACAAATAAGAGACTTCAATGTCAGTTGTGCTTTTCTTATAATATATATTTTGCGATATGTTTACAGGTGGAGCCATGACAAAGGTTCTTCTATACTTACGACCAAAAGATTATGCACAGCCTTTCTCTTGGTTCCAGGTACAAGATTAACCATAGTGAAAGCCTCAGTTTCTACATTAATCTCCAGAGTTAAACTCTTAATCTCTTTATCGTTTTTAGGCATCAAGATCTCTCACTTTACTACATCCTTTTGTTGTGCCATGAGAAACCAAACCAATCGCCGAGAAAAAGATAAACCACAACCAAAATCAATAGCACAAACAATCAAACACCAGTTTTACGTGGTTCGGCAAGATGCCTACGTCCACGGGGCAAGGAGGGGGGAGTTTTCACTATTAGAAATCAAGAGGAACAAACTAGGGTTAAAATCTCTCACCAAAACCCTCAACAACTCACTCTTAATCTCTCCAATTGCTCCAACAATAGAAGCCCAAGAACTCATCCTCAATGGCTGCTAAAACCCATTGCTTACAAACCCTAAAACTAAGTTTGGGTATTTATAGAAAACCCAAACGAAACGGGTATGGAAAACAGACCCAGCCCAAAACCGCTTCGGCGGGCGACCGGCACGGTCGACCGCGATCCATCGCGGTCGACCGGCGCGGTCGACCGCCCTCCATCCAGCCGCCATCCAAAAAATCCAGAGAGTTCGGCGGGCGACCGCCACTGATCCAAACGCCCAGTAGCTCTGTGCACGGGAGTGCGAACACTCAACCCCAAACCAACTGTGTCTACTCACCAAACAACTGAGCCTACACCGACTACACCAAATGCCTCACTTGCTGAGACCCAAATGGGAGTGCAAACACTCACCCCAAATGTCGATGTCGCTCACCAAATCGGCTGCATCAGAAAACTGACTGCCTACGTATCCTCTCCAAGGAATCAAGCCTTCACGTAGTTCACCATTGGCCTCCAAAGGCCCTCAATCCATCTTGTGGCTGATAGCATCATCAACGACCCCAAACTGAAGCGATCCGAACACCTCCACCTGAGGTGAAACAATGGCCGTATCCAAAACGTATCCACCAGCTGCATCCAAATCAACCACCTCATCATCTGCACCCATAAATAAATGACTCTCACGCTGTGCCACCTCAGCTGGAATCCCAAATAATGCAGAATGACCTGGAGTATGTGGGGAAATTCCCACCCAATGTGGAGTAGCATCAACCTCCACCTGCTGCGATATCCCTCTGACCTGATCAATACTCTCCACCTGCCGAGAGTCCAAAGTGACAAACCTGCTCAGACCAAACTCAGAAGCTCCCCACTGATAGCCGAACAAGCCTCTGAATCCCAAATGCGCAATCGGATCCAATCTCATATCCACGATGTGACTAAGTGCTGGGTAGCCAAATATCCGACGCCAACCAAAAACTGAAGCAGCTCCACCAGATCTAACAACTCTATACGCAGCAGTCAGCAACCTCATAAGATGATCCAAACCTGTCAAAGCCTGAATACCAGATCCGCTGCTTGACAACCAATACCGATCCTCCTCCAGAAAATAACGGCTCACTAAATCCGCCATCTCATCACGTCGCCCCACTGTCTCCTCTCCTCTGAAGTGTCTCTAACTGCCATGAGCTCGGCACCAATGCAAGAAAGGACTCCTACTAGAACAAGTACGACTGGTAACCTTTCTGCCCATACACCTCCTCCAACTATTGCGGACTACTAGGGCTTTATACCAACGGGACTTGGTTGCAACCCAAATATGCCTAGTACAATTCCCAACATAGGAAACAAAATAATGATTACCTCCCACTGATGCATACATGGAAGGCCCCCCAATGCCTGATTGAACACCTCCAATAAGACCCCTCGATCGGTGGATAGAAGTGCTGAACTCCACCTCGGTCTCCTCGCTCATCCCAGTATGCTCACAGGACTTCAATCTGCAGGTCATAGCACTCCTCAACAATCTGTGCACGGCATAACCAATAAGATATCCCAGCACCAAACAATACCACAGTCTAACCATAGAAGTAGTCAGCGCCCTATCAACTACCGTGCTCCCAAGCAGATAATACAAGTTACTCCGCCTGACTCCCTTCATCACAATCATGGACCCCGATGTGACCTTCAAGCGAGAATCCGCCAAAGTCACCCTATAGCCTGCTACCTCCAATACCCCAAGTGAAATGATGTTCTTCCTTAGTTGAGGAACAAATCTCACATCAGCCAACTCCCGGATCATCCCGTCACTCATCCAAATCTGAACGGTACCAAAACCACCAATAGGGCATCTGTGATCATTACCCATGAGAACAGCATCCCCTCTTTCCAACTCCTGAAAGCTGGAGAACCAATCCCTTCTAGGACATATGTGGTAAGTAGTACCAGAATCTAACATCCACTCGGTGGAGTCGGCAACATCAACTGACGGAAGAGTTGGGCACGAATAGCCCAAAGAATCTGAATCTGAAACATCGCCACTAGCCTTGGCAACATTTACCTCTGAAGCTTGAATAGCTTTTCCTTTATTCTTCACGGCTTGCAATTTTGGGCATTCGGCTTTTCAATGTCCATCCTCTCTACAAAAGGCACACTGATTCCTACCAACTGCAGGATGCCCCCCTCTAGACTGCGATCTTCTCCCATGGTTTGGACTTTTAGCTCTTGTAACCAATGCTCCCGCAACCGGCTCAATGGAAGTCTCCTTGTCCTTCTTTCGAAGTTGATAGTTCACAAGGGCTGCGGTGACCTCATTATACGAAAGAGGTGCCTTCCCATTAATAAGAGTGAAGACGAAGGTCTCATATTCCTCGTCGGGCAAGGAACTCAATAACAACAATGCTTTATCCTCATCTTCAACAATAACATCTACGTTCGTCAAATCTGCAAGTAGCTTCGTGTAGTGGTTCATGTGATCACTAATGGATGTCCCCTTCTTCAATTGGAAGCGATAAAGCCTCCTCTTCAAATGCAAACGATTTTCTACGCTCTTCGTCAAATATTTGCCCTCTAGGACCTCCCAAATCTTCTTTGCCGAAGTTTCATTCATCACATCATATTTAAGGTCTTGGGTAAGGCAAGACCTAATCACACCACACGCCGTTCTATTCATTTTATTCCAAACCTTTTCATCAACGTCGGCCGGTTTCCCGTCCAACTCCAATGTATCTTCCAAATTTTGCGCATTTAGCGCATCCATGACTTCACATCGCCAAAGTCCAAAATTATTTGTGCCGTTGAACTTTTTCACATCTATTTTCATAGAATGCATATTCAAACTTTGGACGGCCTTCACACTAGAAGAACCCTTCCCACTTTTATCTTTTCCGGCCATAATCTCAAAGCACCCAAATAAACAATTGCGGAACAAATAGGAAATAGATCCAACTTAAAAAAGATAAAAACTTTACCACAAAGATCCCACATTTATCACCAATCGAAGCTCTAGAAGAACTTCCCAACTGATCTACACCTTTAAAAAAAGCCCAAGCGTTGCCCGGAGCTCTGATACCACTTGTTGTGCCTTGAGAAACCAAACCAATCGCCGAGAAAAAGATAAACCACAACCAAAATCAATAGCACAAACAATCAAACACCAGTTTTACGTGGTTCGGCAAGATGCCTACATCCACGGGGCAAGGAGGGGGGAGTTTTCACTATTAGAAATCAAGAGGAACAAACTAGGGTTACAATCTCTCACCAAAACCCTCAACAACTCACTCTTAATCTCTCCAATTGCTCCAACAATAGAAGCCCAAGAACTCACCCTCAATGGCTGCTAAAACCCCTTGCTTACAAACCCTAAAACCAAGTTTGGGTATTTATAGAAAACTCAAACGAAACAAGTCTGGAAAACAGACCCAGCCCAAAACCGCTTCGACGGTCGACCGGCACGGTCGACCGCGATCCATCGCGGTCGACCGGCGCGGTCGACCGCCCTCCATCCAGCCGCCATCCAAAAAATTCGACCGGGCGTAGCTTCTGTGCACGAATGCGGTCGACCGCACCGGTCGACCGCCAACCTGTCTGCTGCTCAGTAAGCCTGTTCCTGCCATATCTACACCTTTTTCTCTGTTTTAATCCCAACAACACAACAATAACATTTTTAAGCTTCTTCTTTTCGCAATGTAAGCTACCTGCATAACAAAGATGAAACCCTACTAGATATGATCAATCCGCATTTGCAATCTCATACTGGGTTGAAATGCAAAACTAGTCACATAATGGAATTGCTTTGCCAATTATCTTATATGTCGGTTGATACTCGTATCCAATCCATGTTCAAATCTGTTTTTGCCAACATGGACAATAAGTTTGATATCTGGATGATACCCGGCCGCATCAGTATAAAGGGAGCTAGAAAGTATATGTTGTAGAATAATTTGAAGCCAAATTAATTTTATTCATATTCCACACTATTTTATATAGGGAGAAATACAATCAATAGGTTAGGATACATAATCAAGAGGTTGGGTTGTAACAAAATTCAGTTGGATAGTTCATAACAAATTTTGCTTATAAAGAATATTATTGTTGCTAGTTTGTTGGATAGATTGGATTTTGTAACATATATGCATAAATAAGGGTTAATCGTAGATACAACACTGTAGTATGATGACATAGTCACATGTATCATAAACTATTTTACTAGCACTGATATCCCTGGAATCTGAGCCTGAGTTATTTTTCGCTGACAATTATAGGGTAATTTAGGCTTTTATCAGTTAAACTGGGGTATTAAAACAGTTCAAGTTATATAAGTGGCTGTCCGCAATTAAGCCTAAGCATAAACGGATGCATTATGGTTACCTGAAACAAACCCCAAGACTGAACAGCATACTGGAGCCTTTTTGCTTGATCATCCTCACATCCTGTTTCCCTGAGCAGAAGGCTGAGATCAATCACCGGAATATCCAACGCTGACGGAGAAGCACGATCCGGTCTCTGTTTTTCGGGCAGGATGTAGCAACCAGGTAGTGCCTGGCCGCTCTCCGCCAGTTCTTGAACCATCTCCACCACCTCCTCTTTACCCATTTCACCTTTTGATTGTTTATACCACTTATTTCCGTTTGCTGTTCAGTTTAGAAGTAGATTGGGAAGATATTTTAGTCTATATAGTGTCAGGCGCCTACCATCACCGAAAGCAGCCTCATATTTTTTGACAAGAGCACCCACCTTTTGACAAAGGAAAAAGAAAACAAAATGGTGGGGCCCACTGCTACAGTAAAATATTAATATTTTATTGTGCATAGATTTTTCAAAAAACTATAAATAGGGTTCCAAATCCTTAGGGGGGGTTAGTCACCTAGAACTTAAAATTAGAACTGTGATAATCAGTGGGATAAAATTTTAAGGCTAAACCTAGAACAAAATTTTAAGGTGTTAGTCACATAGAACTAAAACTAGAATAAAATTTTACAGTGTTAGTCAAGCAGAACTTTAACAAAACTAGAATTGGGATAATTGTACAAAATTATCCCACTTTTTTTATTTTTCTATAAAAAAATAAGAGTTCTAGTTTCTCAAATTATTCCAAGTTTTAGCTTGGAACTATGTGGTAAAAAACTAGAACTCGTATTTATTTTTTTATTTTTTATTTTTTTTCTTTACTTATTTCCTATTATGGTTATCACCATCATTAGACCATCATCATCATAATAATTGTCAATATCTTATAGTCTAACCAAAAGTTATTTAATAGTAACGAACATTCTTGTAAGCAATTATCAATTAATAATAGTAAGTTTAAAATACATAAATAGTATTTATATCTTCAAAATGCATAAATATATACTTCATGATTATAAAAATTTATCCCACGTTATTTTATCAAAATATCCCGCTTCACAAAATTGTTCCTAGTTATCCCACTAAAATATCCCACTAGCGAAATATTATTCCACTTTAACAATTATCCCATTTTGCATGAAAATGTCCCAATTGACTAACACCCCCTTAAGAAAATCTCATCCCAGAAACAACTTCTTATATAGAAGAGTGTGAGAGAAAAAATAGAGAGAGTTTCTCCTTGAAAAGAGAGAGAGTTTGTAACTCCAGAGTTTTTCTCCTTATAGTGGATTCTTCTATCCTTGCCCGTGGACGTAGGCAATCAAGTGCCGAACCACGTAAATCTGTGTGTCCAACATTTTATCTCTACTTTTGCTCTACTATTGCTGCGACTCTGCTCTATTGGGCCCCGGGTTTGTCCCAACAAGTGGTATCAGAGCCAACTTAGGGTACTTGTATATATCTACTTATCGTATGCTCTGTGGCTGCCACCAAAGGGGGATCCTCCACATCAGAAAATAAGTTAGGTTATCATTTACCCTTTGGAGGTGACGGGTACTATTCACGAGCACGGTACTGTTCACAAATACGGTACTATTCACGGATACGGTTACTGTTCATAAATACAGTACTATTTACGTGAAATAGTAAGAAGTTACTGTTCGTGGTAGAAGCAATGGCGGCGAAGTTCAAGATCGAGAAATTCGACGGGAGTAATTTCTCACTGTGGAAGTTGAAGATAAAGGCTATCTTGAGAAAAGATAATTGCCTGGCGGCCATTGGTGCAAGGCCGGACGACATCACAGATGATAAGAAGTGGAACGAGATGGACGAAAATGCTATTGCAAATCTCCATCTGGCATTAGCAGACGGGGTGCTGTCAAGCATAGAGGAGAAGAAGACAGCAAAGGAGATCTGGGATACTCTAACAAAGCTATATGAGGCGAAATCCATGCACAATAAAATCTTCTTAAAAAGGAGACTTTACACTCTGAGGATGGCGGAATCTACATCGATGACCGACCACATCAACACCCTAAACACACTGTTCTCCCAACTCACAACGTTGGGATATACAGTTGGTGCGAATGAACGTGCAGAACTTCTACTTCAGAGTCTACCTGACTCGTATGATCAACTCATCATCAACCTGACGAACAACGTCCTCACGGACAATCTAGTCTTCGACGATGTTGCAGCCGCTGTTCTGGAGGAAGAAAATCGGCGCAAGAACAAGGAAGACAGACAGACAAGTTTGCAGCAAGCGGAGGCCTTGTCGGTGACGAGAGGAAGATCAACAGAACGTGGCTCCAGTGGGAGTCATGCTCATGGTAGATCGAAATCACGAAGTAAGAAGAATATAAAATGCTACAATTGTGGCAAAAGAGGGCACGTTAAATCGGAGTGTTGGCACAACAAGAAGAGTGGAGATAAAAAGGCTTCAGAGCCATCAACATCTCAAGGATGCGTTGTCAGCACGTCAGATGATGGTGAAATTCTATTCAGTGAAACAACCACTGTTGATGAAGGCAGAAAGAAGTTTGCTGATGTCTGGCTTCTAGATTCAGCAGCCTCTTGGCACATGACCTCTCGGAGAGAATGGTTTCACAAATATGAACCTATCTCAGGAGGATCTGTATTCATGGGGAATGATCATGCCTTGGAGATTTGTGGTATTGGTACTATCAAAATTAAAATGTTTGATGGTATAATACGCACCATTCAAGATGTGCGACATGTGAAGGGCTTGAAGAAGAATCTTTTGTCTTTGGGACAATTAGATGAGCTCGGGTGCAAGACTCATATAGAAAATGGAGTCATGAAGATTGTTAGAGGGGCGCTTGTGGTGATAAAAGGAGAAAATATAGCTGTAAATCTGTACATGCTTAAGGGAGAGACTCTGCAGGAAGCTGATTCATGTGTGGCATCAACCAGCCGTGGAGAAGAACAAACCATGATGTGGCATCGCAAGCTAGGCCACATGTCAGAACGAGGCTTGAAGGTTCTCTCCGATCAGAAACTGCTTCCTGGACTTAATTCGGTAGCTCTTCCATTCTGCGAGCATTGTGTTACAAGCAAGCAGCATCGACTGAAGTTCAACACATCGAGTTCTAGAAGCAAGGCTATTCTGGAACTGGTTCATTCTGATGTATGGCAAGCACCAGTTACATCCTTAGGAGGAGCAAAGTACTTTGTGTCCTTTATTGATGATTACTCCAGGAGCATCGATGCCTGCATCGATACCTGCATCGATGCCGGCATCGATGCCAGATTACTGTAAGATTTCATCAACGGCCGAAATTGCATTCTTGGGGCTCAAGTTTGATCCAATGGCTCTCATTCACTGATTTTTACTATAAATAGGGGTTGAGAGTGAGGGATTAGAGGTGTAAAAATTTTTGTAACTCCTTTTGGAGAGGAGGGCTACTCTTAATTGAGAAGGCCTTCCAAAATTGTAACTTTAGTTGCAATTAATAATAATTTTTTTTACCACTTTAAATTTTTCTCTTCTTCTCTTTGTTGGATGATGAAGATGAAGATGAAGATGGAGAATTATTTGAAGGTTTGCATTTCTTTCCTTTTTCTCTTTTATTTCTCTTTTATTGCTTATTAGTTAGATTTATTTTCATGCTTGTAATTAGATTTTATTTTTCTTGTTAAATAGCCAAGAGGCTAGAACCCTCTTGCCTTAGATTTATTTCATGCTTATAGAGTAGATTTATTTTCTTGCATTTAATTCTTGTAATTTTATTTTGTAATTAGATTTTGCAATTTATTTTGTAGTTAGATTTTAATTTCTTATACTATTCACCTTGAGGCTAGAACCCTCTTGGGTTTAGTTTTTCTTTTTGTTTATTTTTATTTTGTTTGATTCGCCTTTAGGCTAGAACCCTCTAGGGAATCACCCTTTTCTAAGAAGTGGGTTCAATTTTAGATTATCCATATCTATAATTGAATCCATCATCTTTAATTTCTTGCATTTTTTTTATTCTAGAATTTTGTTCTTCATTCTTGATTTTTTATTTGTTTCTTGATTTTATTCATTTTTTCCTTCTCACCTTATTGATCATACTAATTCTTTTTTAAATCCACTCCCACTTACAATTGCACCTATTCACACACCACTTTCACTCTCTCGATCTCTTCACAATCACATTCACTCACCAATCTTATTTGTCACGTACACAACATAAAAACCGATTTTATATTTTCTCCTACAAAACACCTTCCTCGTGGGATCGATATCTTAAATACTATAACTTGACACGGTTGTGCACTTGCAACCATTTTGGTACATGTTTATGCCGCATCAAGTTTTTGGCGCCGTTGCCGGGGATTTCCTCCTCCTCAGACCAAAGGTAATTGCAGATTTTTATCAGCGAACCAAATGTAAGTGTTTTACTTCTTATCTGCTTTACTTTATGCATCATAGAGTTTGCATTGAGGACAAT